AAGTGGGCTAGCCCGGTCCAGTCCCACATTACATCCGTCCCTGAGTGAAATCAATAAACTTCTGTCCATTTGTCATCTGACCGAAAAAACTTAAAATTCAATAAACTGATACACGACTAAAATGACTAAACTGCCTAGTGTGTGCTTGTATCCTTCCCTCAATCCGTACCCTCCTTTTGTGTTATTTCATGATATCTCTGGGTAAGTGGTCCCCAAGAATTTTGGACAGTGGAGCGTAATTATATTGCTCACTTATGCCCTACCACATATTTACAGTGGGTTGTGACCCCCGTGCAAGTTTTTCTCTAAGAGTGAGGTGAGATCTCTAGTAAATGTCTTCTCAATTCAATGAATCTGCAGTGAACCATTATAAATCTGTTTATGTGTACGCCTCAATTCTTTTGTTCATTCATTATTGCTCTCGGGTTTGGGATTGGCTTTAACCCGTAATCGAGAAATCACATAGGAACAATTGTGTTATACTTTTGGCGAAGGGAGAGATCTTATTTTTCATCTTGGCACTTTCTGTTGACAGGGTTTTGCATGTCTTCAAAGTGGTATCTGTCTGTCGAGCATGGGGAGGCCCGTCTCTTATGAACGTGCAATAGCTTGGAAAGTTCTGAATGAAGACGACAATGCCCATTGCATCTGCTTTATGTTCGTAAACTGGTCATTCGTGTAAATTTATGGTTGTGGATTAGAGGAACCAGAACAGCTAAGTACTCAAAAAAGAATCTGCTATTTCATCGTACTCTGTTTTTCTTGGCATAGAACCTTAAAAACTCTTGCTTAGTTTGGGTCCTCAGTAATCACACTCTGTTGGCTATTTGCTGTTATTCTAGTTTAGCACTTGTTTGATCCTTAATTTTTTTCAGAATATATTTTTCTTTCTTCTTTTCAACCACACGTTCGTCCATAAATTAATATTATACGCAAATACAAAACTTTTCCTTATTTTTTAATCACATATTCTCTGTCAATCAACTATTCGAAAATGCATTCTACACATTTTTCTAATAAAAATATAAAGACATATAGTCCTTATTTGGTACCCACTAAATCTTTGTTTATTTAGCCCATGTTTAGTGAAGATTTTTTAAAATTCATTTATTTCAAACTTATTTTCAATCACACATTATTCAATAAAATAATATTTTACATCACATCAATAATTTTTCCTTACTTTTTAATCACATATTTCTCATTATATTACTATTTAA